TAATGGGCTTATTTCAATTCAGACATCTAAATATGCAGAGTTTGTTATGAATTCACACCCAGTCTTTAAACTGAATGCTACAGTCGGTCCTCATGTGGTTCCTCCCTGTAAGAGCTTAAGGTAATCAGTTTTATGTTTTAGCACCATGTCGTGTTGATTTCATGTCACATTTTTATTGGCTGGTCGGTAAACGTGGGTCGTAGCAGCAAACACACTGTGTGATGATCATGCTGAATTTCTGACACTGTCAGAAAACTATTGTAGGCTATCTTTGGTCGCAACACTGTGACAACGGCCATCTTTGAACCTCTCTCACTGTACGACATAGAACCACCGATTAGGAGCCACAATCACAGAAATTGCCGCGATTGTTTCACGATGCCAATCTTTCGTCTGGGACAGCCAAAAATCGTGCAGTGTTAAAACATAAATTGAAATAAAAAAGAATAAAAACAATATAGACATAAAAAACCACCCAAAATTACTAAAATTAAAATGGAAAATATATAAAAGATATTAAAACATTAATAAAAACTACAATAGAATCTCAATGATACTAAAATAACACTAGGGGGTTTGTTTGCTGCTTCTGTAGAGTATGACCTCCTTCTATCATCTCGTTGGCCGCAATACTTTAGCTCATGCTTGGACTGGAAGGAAACAAAACCTGATGGGATTCCTAAATCATTTGTTGTTTTGTCTGTCCATCCCCATACAGCCTCATTGGTTTGTCAGGAAAACAGTGAAGACATGTGAAAGTGTTGTTGTTTAGAGCCTTCTAGCAGCTGTGGAACGGACAGGGGTCGCCCCACCTTATCATGTCAATGGGAAAGTGCTCTCCATGCATTCGTTTGCTCTTTCTTCACCCTAATGGCTCCGCTGCTCTGTGGGGGGAACAGAAATCATAAATCAGATCTGTCCCTAGGGGAAAGTGAGAGGACTGAAAACAAGCATGAAAACTTTCATCACGTTCCATAAATGTGGGTCATGGCGGCTGCTGGTGTTGTTTATGAACGCTACCTCCCTTAGACACTGATGGGCCTGATACCGGGATGGCTTTTAGTCAGTTGTGGTTTATTGATTGCTGGATAAGAGTGGATGTTAGCTCTCAGACTGAGGCCGTGCTGAGGTGGTCCGTGGGCATCGAGATGGAGCTCAGGGTTGCTGTTATCTGTTCTGCCTTGCAGGCTGGTACGCACAATTCCAGTGCATGTACAACCAGTAATGACACCCCTGTGGACCATAGAAGAGCCACATAGACAGATGGGTGAAACGAGGAAAATAATACGCCTTTGTAGCCTAGCTCTAACATTTCAGTCTTGGAAGCTGGAATGTTATGGGAAAGTAATAATCAGGTTAAACATTACAAATGTCATTACTGTTGGAATTATAAATGTTAATTTGGCTGTTGATTTCTAGATTTGTGTATTTTGCTTATTTAGATTTAAATTTAGGATGAAAGACTGTATGCTGAAGGTCTCATGGATAGTTTATCAGATGAATATCTGGCTTTATATGGAAGACAAGTTCACATTTTTGCCCAAAACAGCTATTTATAAAAAATAATTGGGGGTCAGCTGTACCCAGAGGACTGCTGTTGAATGTTGATGTGTTTTTCTGTGAAAGTTAATGCTTCAGACATTATTGGTTATTGTTTATGTAAAAAGGACTAACAGTAATACTAATAAAAAATACTAATAGTTCAGATTTTTCTGCGTTCGCTCAAACTGATTTTCTAATATCAAAATGTGGACAGTGACTGGTGAGTCTTAGTGAATGAGATTTCCACTTGTAAAGTTCTGCCCACTACTGAAGCTATTTATTCTTCTAGGAATACTAAAATAATGAATAATTCTAAACAAACACCATCATTTTGACAGGTAACAACTCGAAAAAATATAATTTACATGTAGCGCATCAATTCTACATATGTTGATTTGCAAATTTTTGTGTTTTGTTTATTTAGATGCATATGATTTAAAATTTAGGATGAAAGACTTTATGCTGAAGGCCACTTTCTCAGATGAATATCTAGCTTTATATGGAAGAGAAGTTTACATTTTTGCCCAAAACAGCTATTTATAAAAGTCATCGGGGATCAGCTATACCCAGAGGACTGCTGTCGAATGCTGATGCGTTTCCTGTGAAAGTCAATGCTATGTTTTCTTGAAATGTAAATGCAAAATGCAACCTCATTACTGTGAGACTAGTAGGCAGAATGCTGACGTTTGTTTGCCTGCAGGCAATAAACTTTGAGCTCAGGCTTATTTTTTGGAAAGATCTTAATGATTGTTCCTTGGAAAACGCCCTGATAGTGGGTGGGGTCCCGAGTAAGGAACACACTTACATAGTTGCAACATGTCGATATGACTGTAATATCACTGCTTGGCTGCTAATGAGGGGAAAGTACAATGCTAAACATGCCTGTTTTCATATATAAGGTCATGTTTATGATACCTTGCTTGTGCTATCAAAGCCTATAGGGCTTTTGTGCAAATGACTATGTGCATTATTTAAAAGACCTTGGGGCTACATGTGGCCAAACCTGATTAGTATTTAGCTGATTGTGTTCTTATTTTCACCCTATTTATTCTGGTGCATTGCTAAAACACAATGACACACTTCCTTCAGGCTGCGTTTAAGTAGTTTCCATGGCTACAAACGCTCTTGCAGCTGGATGGGCAAAATGAGCAGAGAGCATAGACATTAGTGTACTCCCAAACACCCCTCCTTCACTCTTTCTCCGCTCTCTCCCTAAAGGTCTTGTTTTGGCACTGTAGGGAGGGATTTTTGGGAGTTGAATGCTACAGTCGGTCCTCATGTGGTTCCTCCCTGGGTTGGTCACCAATGGCTGTAAATTGTAATTGTTTTGTAACCATATTTTTTCAGGATGTTAAAGGAGCTTTCTTGTAAGAGCTTGTGACGAAGAGTGTAAAAGGGATTGGGCCTTGTGATTCTTTTGTTCATTATTGAACATGGCAGTTGATTGAGTCTCAAACTGTTGAGATGACCTGTTTGAGAGTCAAGCTTGTCATGGACAAAAAAAATAAATAATCTGCATTGCTTTTCTCTGATGTTTTGACAAGTTTTTTTGCAAGTGTTATTGTTAGCTATTCTATCACATGTATCTGCCAAACTAGGTCCTATCACACAGAGTTTAAAATTGGAAAGGGTTATATTTGCATCTTTACCTTGAGGTCAGGTCAACACTGAGCTCATCTGAAGGTTTCCAAAAATACAGACCTGAAATAGGCCCAACCGCTCTGAGGTTACAAGTTTAGTAGCTGCTCAGATAGATTGTTTATCAGAAACGTTTAGTAAACGTTTATGTGAATATTATGAAAACTGTTAAGGAGTATGGGTTATATTTCACCCACAGATCAAATAAATTATATATTGTTTAAAGAAGATTAAGCCTATTTTCAGAAGTTAGGTGTAGAAATCGGTTTCACTCAGAAACTGTCACTGTTTGTAAATTTCACAAGAACAAAGAAACAACACATAACAAATTGAATTAATCATGGAATTCTGAAGTACAAAGACTGAAATAGTATTTTCTTGCAAATTGTGCTCTAATAGTCTTTCAATAATCAGTTTACTTCAAAATATTTTTTTACAGTGTAGTGTTGATATTTTATGATATTTTAGCACATTTAAACCCACCTAATTCTCATTTCTGTAATGTGAAATAAACCTGAAATTATTCATAATTCATCGTCATTTATTTTTTTACTATACATATAATACATATACATATATTTACTCAGATTTAAATAAACAGTGTATTACAGTTTCCCCACCCCGACACATTACAGTAATGAGAATTAGTGTAATGATGAACTTAATGCCACAATGCAAAAATATCTTTTTTTTAGTTGATTTTATTTTGCTAACAGTGTGGGGATAGATGTAAGTCTGGTCAGTCTGTTAAAAGAAATAAACAAACCAAAGGGCTAAAAGCCAAGAAAAATAATCCTTCAAACTTCTGGGATTTACGCCACTGACAAGAAGAAAATATATCATGGGTTTGCACCTACTCAATCATGATTTTTTTCCCCCTCTTTGTGGCACTGAGTCAGGGGCCGAGCTGTGCTCTTTATGGTTTTGCATACGTTTATGCATCGAAACTTACTCGCACTGAAACATACTAAGTTTGGGAAGTCAGTATACGCAAACAGCTAAATATATCAACGTGGCATAAGCAAGCGCTCATATGTCACTCTCTAGAGTTCTGGGTATGGAGTTCTTCCAAACGCCATTGATTACTTCTTTTTAGCCTGTTTTTGTAAACCCATCCACCCAGTCTGGGTGCGCAGAAAGAATGAATCAGCAATTGTGATTTCATTTGACGTGTGTCTTAATGATGTGATGAATCATTTTGTGAAGTGATTTATTCTTCAATGCTACAGTGAAGCTCTGTAATGACGGAAACGGTCATGGCAGAACCACAGTTTGAACTAATGCAACATTGCTCGACGTTTACGACTCCTCGGCCAATAGCATCTAAAATTGCTTTTTAATTACATGCCTGTTCGAAGTCGCGTTATTTGCTGAGTAAGAAAGGCTGGTGAATTGAAAGAACAGATTTAAAGGGAACGCCAACACAGGACTGGGTCTAAACCATTTTTCCATAATGTTAGAAACGTTTTGGTTTAAAGTAGGCCACTAGTCTAGTGAGTACATTGCAAACTGGTTCCAGTGATTCACTTAATGCAATCGAGTGGTAAGTGTTCTGCTATTTCATGGTGTCATGTAACACTGCATTGTGGGTTGAATTAGTCATTTTCAAGGGAAAAGCAATGTTCACACAGTCTTAAGTGTACCATTTGATTAGTTTTCTATAAAAGGAGCGGACAGACAGTGGAGGGGAAAGTGGTGCACAGTACGTCTGTCTTTCATTTAAACAAAAAGCCTTTTTTCTTTTGTGAAAATGTCAATGTTCGGTTAAATATAAACCGTACCTGTTGAACTGAATCAGTTTTTTCCTCTTTATTCCACAGGTAGGAAATAGGAATACGAATTCTCTCTGGACTGCGAGAGCTGCGTTGTGCTAGAGCTGGACTCAAAATAAACAGGTAATGAATGGAAGGAGCAGGTAGCTAAAACTACACCGTGTGATTGTTGACAGATGGTGCTTGTTTGTTTTTCTGCCTAATGTAACTCAAAAGTATGCAGTACTTTTACTTTGAGTTCTGCAAACGTAATGCCTGGAAAAAGTGTAGCTATTACCTCTGCACCACTGAGCCCCAAAGGCACCATACCAACCACCTGTGTGTCTGCTCGGACCGAGTAATCGTGTTTTTTTCCCCCCCTTGTTTTAAAAGTTGGTGAGTGTAACATTTCTGACAAGGGGCCTTTTACATGCCATTGAGTGAATGAAAACATGGCAGTAAAGACCCAGCCTATAGCTCTCACTCCATGAAGCGTCAGATGAAAAAAATATACTCTCCAAAGACGTAGAATCACAGCCATAACCTGTAAATCAAGGCGGCTTTGTAGAAACCTCTGCGTAGTCCACTTCAGTGTAGACCATTGCTCAGAAACGCACATGAGTCACACTTATTGCGGCAGTAAAACAACCTCACAATCTGGCCTCAGTCTCACGGGACATTCTTAAGGAGTGAGGTAAGACCGACCCAGGAAACCTCCCAGCATTTTATTCTTTGGATTATTTCTCTTTATGGGAAAATACTGTCACCACTCCCTCTTAGTGTTGTTCCCTTTAAAAGAAAAGAGCCAGACAAAGCACTGGATCAAATTTAGACTAATGTATCTGCACACAATCCCTGAACAGATTGATAGAGAGAGACAGAGTTGGATAGATATCTATAGATAGAGATCGATTGGAATAAATATATATAGAGACAGAAATAGATATCTATAGATGGTTATAGATAGCAATAGATATCTATATATATAGATGAGAGAGGGGTGGATATCTAGACAGATAGATAGTGATGGATAGATTGACTCTCCCTAAAGGTCTTGTTTTGGCACTGTAGGGAGGGATTTTTGGGAGTTTTATGCTGCATTTAAGAGTAGAGGAAGTTTGATTGCACAGATGTTGCACCCCAGCACAGGTGTGGCCTAACTGGAGCGCTCTGGAGGAGCTGAATTGAAGAGATAAACAGATAAAAACACATCTACGGGCATAGGGAGCGATTGAGAGCCAGGTAGAGATGTTGGGTTACTGAGAAGATCTAAGATGGGAGATTCCCAGGTGAAGCTTTGGTCGGAAAGCCTTTGGTAAATACATCAAGAGTCTGACAGTCAGGTTCATTTGACAAGGTAAGGTATGTATGTATTCGCTCTACTTTTCATCTTACACCAAAGAATTGTCGTGAAACTACAGAGATGTTCTTTTGGCTGCAGTTAATAAGAAACACTTGAGGATGAGATTTGGATGTGAAGAGAGAAGAACAAAGTAACAACGGAGAGCCTGAATTCACTGTGGGTTGAAATGTGAAGCTTTAATAAGTAAAAAGATAAAGAAAAGATTTATGTGTGGAAGATTGACCTAGTGTATCCTTTTAGTAGACATTTTAAAATGAAAGTTTTGTCGTAATTTACCTTTATATTGTTCTAAGCCCATTATTTGTTATGTAAGATACAAATAGAGATATTTTAATATAAATTGTTCAAAGAATTTCTGAGTGCTGGATTTCTGTGATATTTCATACAATGAAGGCCTTATGTGACCATCAAGGATCCCACGATGATAGAAAACCTGACGAAAAAAGGGAGATTTGATTTTTTACATTGTTACATTTTTTGTTATTTTCTTTAGGCCTGGAAAGGACTTGGAGAAGAGTAAAATCGTAAAGTCATGTAAAATAAATGTTTGTAAACTACAAAATTTGATCATTTTTTTTATGTGTTTATTCAAAAGATTGGTGCCTCACATAAAAATTTAAATCAGCCAAGGCTAGCAATCTCTTTAAAAGTGAAAAATCCTTATCTAGTAATCACAAACGACTGGAAAGTTCATAGAAATATTCACTGTAACATCATTGATATTCACTGGTCAAAAGATTGGTAACTTTGGCCCTTGAGATATATATATATATATATATATATATATATATGACGTTTGATTATTTATATATTTAAAATGTGTGATTCAAAGTGGAAGTGTCTTTCCTCAATTTTTGCATGAGTCAGTTGACATGTGGAAGCTTCATTATATGGTAAACAAGTATTTATTAAGCAAAGGAATCCTTTTACTGGCTTCCTTATCTTGCAAAATCAGTCTGCTTTAACTGATTTATAAATACATGTTTGTAATGATTTATGTCGCACATAAATCATCTGCTCTTGTCTATGAAAGCATGTTTAAGAATTGTGACTTTATACCTCTATTGCAACTGTTTTCCTGTAATTATAACCTTTATATCTATCAAAAACGTTATTTTTTTGTTTTAAATTGTATCCCATAATTTTGAACTCCATTATGAACAGTGACTTTATATAATCATTGTGTATTTCCTGATCCAGCGAGTCTCAGTAAAAGACAGTGACTAGTATCAAATAATGTCAGAATGTGTCCCTTTGCAGGCTAAGAAATTACTTTACCAATTTAATGGCATGATTTTATTGCAATATGCAAATTATTTGTCATGAATCAAGGCTGACAGCCTTAACCACATGTGGAGTTGTGTTTGTCACACTGCTTTGAGCTTTCCTCTGATTGTCTAAATTGCAGGTTTGCAGCAGTGCTCGCTTTATTCGTTGAGTTAGAGTCACTTGTGGTGAAATATTGAGAACATGGATCATGTGAAAACAGTGCCAGCTGAAAGACCAAACGTTTTTTTTAATAAGAGCCTGCACTGTTATTTTATAGATGTCTCTGACTTGCAGCCATAGAGCCATTTCTTAGAAAAAAAATCCAGGTGTTTTCACTCAGACCTGTCTAGACCTCAGTCCATGTTGTTTAACAAATGTAAGTCCCGAGGTCTCTGCTTTGTGTGGCTGTGTAATATATTGCACAATCATGCATGATGGGAGTAAACCCAATGTAAGGATTACGTTTGTGAAGCTTGAGTGAAAACACAAGCATGTGGTTGGAGACTCTGACTATGTCTGTCATCTCTGACTGAGTCGAGTACGAGCAGCCTGCAGTGATGTGCCTGAGGCACGTCTCCATGCAGCCCCATGGGTTTTTGTGGGACAGCAATGTTAATATTTCTCCCTGAAACATAGTTGGCGGACTACATTGTTTTTGCATTTAATGGTTTTATGTAACCATTACTAAGGCCAATTAGCATCGTATTTGTTGCAGGGAAAACGACACATGACACAAGCCCCCATTCATTTTTATGATTATTTTGACTTTCCCCCCCATTATTGCATTCATCACATCTATTTTTAATTGATCGAGAGAATGCACATAACGGAGGTGTATGGGGTGATGGGGGCTGTCAGACGAATAAATCACAGTCTGCACAGAGCATGCACGTCATGCTCTGCCTCATTTCCCGTCTCCTTGAATCACTCCAAACACCAGAACAAATATACTGTATATAGTCCTCTGAGCGACTGCACTGCAGCTCCAGAAGCTCTCAGCCAGTATGTGTAGCCTGACCCGCTTCTCCAGCTTTGACCAACACTCACTATTTTTGAGTCTTACTCAGTGTTGGGAAATTACTAACTAAAAGTAACGACATTACAAACTTGACTATATTTTTAGTTGCATGACAAAATAGCTTTCAAAACAAAATAGCTTTTCCAGTAATAAACTTAGTTTCCAACAGGTAGCAATGAATCATCTTGTTAAAAATATTTTGTAAATTATTTTGTGCATAGAAATGTATTTGTTTGTATATTTGGCTTCATATTTAGTTAAATGCTGCTGTTCATGTATTTGACTGATGTTTTTGACATGGTTATGTATATCTTTTTTTTTGCATATATATGTATGCATGCATGCGTGTGTGTGTGTATATATATATATACATACACAGTGGGTACGGAAAGTATTCAGACCCCTTTAAATTTTTCACTCTTTGTTATATTGCAGCCATTTTTTAATAAATCTGCAAAAATGTCAACAATTCTGTGTTTTTCTGTCAATATGGGGTGCTGTGTGTACATTAATGAGGAAAAAAAATAACTTAAATGATTTTAGCAAATGGCTGCAATATAACAGAGTGAAAAATTTAAGGGGGTCTGAATACTTTCCGTACCCACTGTATATATATATATATATATATACACACTACTGCTCAAACGTTTGGGATCAGTAAGACTTGTAATGTTAGAAAGTCTCTTATGCTCATCAAGGCTGCATTTATTTTATCAAAAATACAGGAAAAAACGAATCTTGCTAAATGTTATTACAATATAAAATAATGTTTTCTATTTTAATATACTTTAATATACTAAAATTTAATTTATTTCTGTCATGCAAAGCTGAATTTCCATCAGCCATTACTCCATTATAGTGTCACATGATCCTTCAGAAATCATTCTATAATGCTGATTTATTATCAGAGCTGGAAACTGTTGTGCTGCTTAATATTTTTTTTGGAGCCTGTGATACTTTTTTCCAGGATTCTTTGATGAATAAAAAGTTAAAAAGAAGAGCATTTATTTAAAATAGAAATCTTTTCTAACGATATACAGTACCGTTCAAAAGTTTGGGGGTCAGTACATTTTTATTCTTTCTTTTTTCTTGAAAGAAATTAAAACTTTTATCCAGCAAGGGTGTGTTAAGTTGTTAAGAAGTGATAGCAAAGATTTATATTGTTAGAAAATATTAATATTTTGAATAAATGCTGTTCTTTTAAACTTTTTATTCATCAAAGAATCCTGAAAAAGTATCGCAGTTTCCCCCAAAAAATATTTGGCAGCACAACTGTTGACCGCATTGATAATTCTAATAATAAATCAGCATATTAGAATGATTTCTGAAGGATTATGTATTATTATATATATTATATGTATATAATAAAAAAAAATGTAATAGCTTGTAGTGTAGCTAACCACTATTTCTAAAGTCTTGACTTGTTTTTAAATTGTTGCATGCAAATTGCAGGATTACAAGTTTAAAGCTGAAGATACTCATTAATTAAAGCAC